ACCATGTTGCAAAATGTCATTGAAAATTTCGACCATCGCGTGGACGTCTGTAAATCCAGTCGTGGTGAACATTTGAGCGATATTATTTTTCATACATAAATGGTATAAATGAATCTTCAAAATAAAGTACCCAACTTGATTTGAATATCAATCTTTCTTGTTTTAATATGCGTTTACTTTCCTGCGTCCGGTTTGGACAACCCCATATAAATAATTCACCAACCCTGTTACTACCACCCCAAGCAACAATGCAATAGCTTAGTATGGAATGGACGTGAGCGAAGTAGTAAAGCTTTAATATTTCAGTACTTACGTGACGTCGAAGCTGCCATATAATGAATGATTGGGTTGATAATCGCTTGATCAAACACTAATCTAAGCCGTCCGAAAAAATAGTCGACGTTTCTAGAGAAAATATCAAACTACGATTTTTTATTCCTTTTTAAAATTATCTAAAATAGGTGTTGGTCTTCCATTTTCGATTATCTCATTTTTTTCTTAAAAATTATACAAGGAGAATGACTTTTCAAGTAGTTGGTCGATTACGCAGCGACACTCATCCATATTTAATTGCACGCAAACTGCAGCTGGTAACCAAACGGTTACTAACGAGCGCGAAGTGAGTAACCATATCAAAAAATGGTAACAAGCCATAATAGTCGCAGCGACCGCGATCAGACACGAGCCGGTACCGACGGTCCCCGACGGACTACCAAGTGTATCCATAAATGCAATTGGTAACAACCTACAACCAAGTCGGTGCTAGTCAGCTTCATCGTGTTCACAAAACCTAGACACTATAGGGCGCATTACTTTCGTGGGGTGGATTTGCTATTTGCTTAACTACTATTACATATCGCCGTTGGTAAACAAATAAATGAAATTATTTCACAGTACTAAGTTATAAAATATTTATTTTTAAGATTTTTAACTGTTACCAATGGTAACAATGGTTACATGGACGCTTCGCCACTGCTATGCACGTAGCTATAGTATACAACAACATCAGAGCCAAACATTGATAGCTGAAGCATGATGACATTTAGGCAACACGTACAGCTAAGAAACAAGTACACAACGAGTCATAATGTCACAAAAAACCTATAATCTACTTTTCAAGATATGTAATACTCTTGCGGGAAGAGAGATTTACTAGCGATTTCACCTTCGGTTGATCAAGATGAGCTATTGGTCTATTTATACCTTTACTCGCTGCCAGAGTAAAATCTATCTCCCTGCCACAAATACGATTCTACTTCAGATGACATTCTACGTAATGAATTAAGCTTTCTCTCATTTTAAATGTTTGCATTGTGAAACGTTGCCAAGAGCTCTGTTCTGCTTTGTTATTACTACGGCTGTTGTTATTCAAAATTAAAATATGGGGTTGTTTTTTGGAGGTTGTAATCCATTGTCCACGTTCTCCGGATGAATTTAGAATTTTGACGGAATATGCTAAGATTAGGTTTAAGGGGCTTTTCATGAAGGAAAATTTTCTCAGATTGCAGCAGCGTCCGTACACGGTAGCTCCATTGCGCACGGGTATCACGTAACTTTAATAGTGACATTATACCGATTTTTTTTTGACATTATGCAAGTTTGGCTATGACGTGATGAATCTAGTGCTTCAGAGATGGCATTATATTCTAGATCTAAGCTGTAACTTTTATACTATAGACTACATTTGGAAGGAAAAGGCAGTGCATAAGTACATAGTGTGGATGTGCGTGCTAATAATATGTGTTAATGGTAATTCCATTGGAATCTTATATTTTATACTCACACATTGCAATTATATTCACTGTTCTTCTCGAAGTTTTTGAAAACACAACCACAACTTTGAACATAACCTCTCTTCAGAAAGAACAACACAAATAACTCTAATCTAATAGATATACTTCATTAGCGGCATAGTCAGTAATAATGTTCTCAACTTATAAAATATCACTTTTTTATACACATGCAGACCAATACAAGCATTAAGATGCGGTCTTGCTACTCAACCAAACTCGTTTTTCACATTTTAAACCTATGTAGTACGTACACATTGAGGTTAATAAACCATACTATGAACTAAGAACTATCACTGCAACCAGAGATGCACAATAATGCATATTTGGTTAGAGAAAAGTATCTCGTATCGTTCAGATATTCGTTCATAGATGGATCGCCTTACAACGATCCTGGTGAGCAAAAGTTGAACGACTGTTTGCACCCTAAAAACTATCTATACTAAGTGACATATAAATCCGAACACCCTGTTTAAATGGTTTTATTTTAATAAAAGTTGGTGAATGTATTTATCTTACTGTAAATAACAAGTGAAAAAATTTTCAGCCTTATCAGTTGGACATTCCGGTTTTTATACTGCTTTTTTTTAATTCACTAACGCTCTAAAAATGAATATTTCAGCCGCAGTAAAGAATCAACGTTGGCGGATTTTGGTTCTTGAGATCCTTTACGATCGGTTACGATGCCTAGAGTACGGAGACCTGTACGATTTCGTCAACTTAGTGAGTTTGATAGGGGCCGTATAGTGGGACTTTGGGAAGCTGGACTTTCTTTTCGGGCAATTGCAGTTAGAGTGCAAAGAAGTGTAGACACTGTGGTTAGGTGTTGTCAGGCATGGCTTCGAGAAGGCCGTACGCAAAGAGTAAGGGGCACTGGACGCCGCCGTAGAACAACAGACCGTGAAGATCGCCGCCTAAGATTATTGGTCTTAAGAGACCGTTTCTCCACTACCAGATCCATTGCAAATGAATGGTTTGCAGAACACGGAAGACCTATTGGCATACGAAGTGTTTACCGACGAATGAGAAGTTTTGGCTTGTTTTCATACCGGCCACACTGGGCCCTCCCTTTAACTCGAGAACACCGACGTAATCGCCTTGAGTGGTGCAGACAACGGTCACTCTGGGATCAGGAATGGAACAGTATTGTCTTTAGTGACGAGTCCCGATTTTGTTTAGGCATGCACGATGGTCGTGCCAGGGTTAGAAGGCGACGTGGTGAAAGGAGGAATCCACAGCTTTTTGTTGAAAGACATGTTCATCACACTGTTGGAGTTATGGTTTGGGGTGCTATAGCTTATGGTTCCAGGTCACCTTTAATCTTCATCAGAAGTAACATAAACGCGCAGCGTTATATCCACGAAGTTCTAGAACCCCATCTTTTACCCTAACTTTCCAACAAGATAATGCCCGACCACATGTTGCAAGAGTCACAATAGACTTCTTTCAACATAATGATGTCACATTGTTACCATGGCCACCAAGATCTCCCGACTTATCCCCAATTGAGCACGTGTGGGATATGATGGGTAGGAGATTGCTCAATTTGCAACGTCCTCCTCAGACTCTAGAAGCACTTCGAGAGGAGTTGGTGGCTGCCTGGAATGAGATACCACAGGAAGACATTGACCACCTGATCAGAAGCATGCCTAGGCGCATTGGAGAATGCGTAGCACATCAGGGTGCATCCACACATTATTAAAGGTCAAAGGGCTTTAAAGCAGTGCAATCATTTTGAAATTTTTATCATTTACTTATTATGCTTCAATAAGTACTTATACAAAATTTTATTAAAATAAAACCATTTAAACTGGGTGTTCGGATTTATATGTCACTTAGTATAGTATGCAAGTTGACATTATGTAGGTTTTTTTTGACGTTTTGTAGGTTTTTTACATGATACCCGTGCCGATGTAAAACTGCTTTTCAACAATGTTTTATAACTGGTAAATAATAACTTGATACTGGATCAACTGTTGGACTATGCAGATAAATATAAGATCTTAAATAATAGCCAGGTCGGTTTTCAATTTGCAGTTGCACTTGTACATCAATTAGATAAAATCTCAGAGGCTTTCGACCATCGTGAATCATGCGAAGCATGAAAAGTATTTGACGGTGTCAGGCATGAAGCTTTGCTCAGAAAATAAAGCTGCTACGGAATACAGGAAGTTGAAAATTATATTGTAAGATCGTATTTTACGTTGAAACAGTTCATATCAGTCGTGAACTTTTAATCAAAAGAGGCGTACCTCAAGGATCCATCCTTAGACCGTTTTTATTTATACTATACATAAGTTAGGTACAACATACCGAGATGCGGTTTTCGCGAGCTTGTTTAAACATCATTCAGCTACTTTTTTATAAGAAAAAAATCATACCAATGGATTGAGAAAATCAACCATTTCTGTCGGAATGCCGAAAAAAGCCCTCTAGCCGCCACGTGCAGACTAATAAAACTTCAAATATTATAACATTTGTAACCCAAGAATAGGTTTTTTGAAGTAGCCCAAGTTTGTTAAAATTAGCTCGCCGTCCCGAAGATACAGGGTACCATATTGAAAGACTAAAAACCTTGGAATAAAACTTTACAACTCGCTACCTAAATATCTGACTTAATTCAAATCAAATAGCTTTCTATAGTATCAAAGCATTTTTTGATTAGTTGACAAGCCAATGTGGACTTTAGGCCAAGCTTGTTGTTGTTGTCGACTTATTTTTATCCAATGTCTTATACAGGGTGTTCCTTAATGATATGCGAATATTTAAGGGTGTGAATCTAAATGAAAAATTAATGTTAGTTTGCTTGATTAACTATGGTCCAAAAACGTTTCCTCAAAAAACTCGGGGTGTTGAAGTTTTAGGAAAAAAATGGAAATTAATTTTATTTTTTATTTTTAAAGTATTGTTATCGAGGTTTATTTTCACCAGAGGTTCACAATGGTCTCTCCAATTTTTCGGCCCGAATAACATGACTGTACTTTTGGCCGGATTCAAGTCTAAGCATATCGCTCATTGAATGCAGAACTAGCCCAAGTCCATTTTTGCCGAATTTGCATTAACAACACCATGGGATGCTACGGCCCATGCCAGATTTGGGTGCAGAACTAGCCTATAATATCAACACGTTATCCCCTCTACCGCGTCTATTATGCAAATATCCCAACTTGCGACGCGTTCCGAGATTCAGTTCAGAACAATCCCTTGGCGGTTGCGTATGCTAAGTCTGTGCTTTGTATGGACATAGGCTAGTTCTGTATTAGAATTTGTAAATTTGTATACCAAGTACATAGTAGCTGTGGACATAGAATAGTTCTGCAATTCGGTAACTTCCTTAAAAGTAGCGATATTATTTTGTATATCGCGGTCACAATGAATTCTAGAACTTTAAAAATGATACAATTGGTGGCCCCGACAAAAATCAGAAGGCACCCCGAAGGCTGGTGAGACAATAAATTAAGTTTTAGTAATTTCCGAATTATGTAAGGGTATGATTTGTAGGCATACAGCATCAAGAGAAAAGGAGCTCATCTACATCGTTTACTCCGAATGCCAAACAAAAAATTGGAGGGGCTATTACAGAAGGTAAGTGACATTAGACTTCGATACTGTATAAACTATAAAGTTATAATCTACAAAAAACGATTTGAGGGTGACTCGAACAGGAATAAGAAGGGAAAATTGATTGGGTTATAGGATTATAGCTAAACAATTATTAGCCCGACATTCGTTCGTGTTGCCTTTCTGTTAATTTACAATGTCCAATTTGATTCTAGAATATGTACAAGAAGATGATGGGGGATCAACAACTTCGAACAACCAAGCTGATGATGTTCCAAAAATACCTTCTTCGGCAAGAAGCATAGCTCAACTGATGCAGGACAGTATCACCCAACAGCATCCTCTTTTTTTGATGCCTTGGGAAAGTTCAACTTACATCCTACAAAATAACTCTGTAACCATTGAGGAATTTCCATCCAATGAAATCCCTGAGATCAATAGTCCCGCTGTAGTTGAATTGGACGGTGGAGATACATATGAGAAAACTGTTCTACAAAATGCTGACTTCACATCAAAATCCTCAAATACTATAGAGGATGATTTTATGCTTTCTGAATGTGAGAGTGACCCATTTGCCACCAGTGATGATAGCAATGACATGGACTATATACCAACATTAAGGAAAAACTCAACTCACAGTAGAGATCCAGATGATATCGAAAACTCATCAGAACATGATGATAAAAATGAGCCGATGAAAACCAAGAAACATACACGGAAGAGACAGAGGAATCCGGGTGCATGGAGAAGAAATAAAATAAAGAAGCTGCGGAATCTTGGCGTGAAGTATATAGACTGGAGAGGAAACCTCCGTCCAAAAAGGTAACCAAAACCGCCTTGTGCTAACTGCAGACAAAAGTGCAGCGAAAAGTTCACAGAAGAAGAGAGGAAACAGATAGTTGAGAGATATTGGCGACTGGGGGACGTCAATAGACAACGGGATTTTTTTGCCCAGTATGTAAATATAATGGACAAGAAAAGAACACGGTTGAGAAAGCAGGATGGAAACAGTAGTAACGAAGATACCTGTACAGAAAACACAACAGGAAGAAAAAAGGCGTTTTCATTTAAGTATACATTTTTAAATCGTCGATAGAAAATAGCGGTCTGTAAAACTTTTTTTATGAATACTTTAGGGATAAATGCGCCCAAGTCATTAAGACAGTGTTAAAAAAAAAATGGTTAGCACCGGTACAGTCGGGGCAGATCGGTGTGGTAAGGCATGCAAGAATTCTAAATTGAGTGATTCAAGAAAGCAGCAATATTGTGAGCAGAACCACATCCAACATGCGACAGAAAGCATTTACAGAATAATCTTCAACACCGAATTCAACTTCTCATTTTTCATCCCTAAAAAAGATTTGTATGATATTTGCAAAAAGTACGATGGCGGAACATCAGAAGAAAGAACTGAAATGGAAGAAGAATACCAGTTGCACAGAAAGAACAAGGACATTGGACGGGATTTGAAGAATACTGATAAACAGACGGAAAAGCAAAATAGAGAATTTTGTGCAGCCGTTTTTGATTTGGAACAAATACTGCCTCTCCCCAAAAGTAATGTTGGTATGGCATATTACCAACTCAAATTATCAACATTCAATTTCACGATTTTTAACTTGGTAAATTCTGAAGGACATTGTTACATGTGGTACGAGTGGGAAAATGGAAAAAGGGAAGCTCAGAAATAGGCAGCTGTTTGATGCGCTTTATCGACCTCAAAGTACATGAAGATACGAGAGAATTTTCTTTCTATTCCGACAACTGTGCAGGTCAAAATCGAAACAAATATATTGTTAGTACGTATAGCTTATTAGCACAGAAGCGCAACATTGTGATAAGGCATACATTTTTGGAGAAAGGTCATACGCAAACCGAAGGGGATTCGATGCATAGTGTAATTGAACGAGCATCTAAGCTTATCCCTTTATTTACCTGATCAATGGTATACTTTAGTACGCAGGGAAAAAAGAAGTAAACCGTATGTAGTAACTGAGATGGGCAAATACGATTATTTTGATTTGAAAGCGCTTGCCACGGATACTATTTTGAATTGGGATCGTGATGTGGAAAATGAGAAGGTTTCTATAAATAAAATACGAATTTTAGAGGGAACCCTCAAATTTCCAAATAAAATTTTATTCAAATACGACTACAATGAACCGTTCAGAATAATTGATTTATTAACAAAAGGCAGGAGGACAATATTGATGTTAATCTAAAAAATATACAGTTAAAGCAATGTTACAAGGGTGCTATCCCGAGCACCAAAAAAAAGTATGATCATCTGCAATTCCTATGTGACAAGGGGACTATACCTACTCGGTACCGCAGTTTCTACAAGAACTTACAGTATTCCAACGTAAGTAGGGATGACGACTCAGAATAGAAGTTCATCATTTTTCTGTTACAAAAAGTTTCTTAATACTACCACTTTTTTATATATTAGGTAGCAATAGTTGATCTGGTGGGGATACTGAACTGTAATTTTTGTTTCCTGTTACTATTTTGAGCACTGTCCATCGTTTGCCTGAATGCCTCGTTTATGTTTTGGTAGTTAATTATAATATTATGTACCTGTATAATAAGACTGCTTAGTTGTCAATAAATGTTTTCAACGTATTCCCGTTTCTATTTTTGTACTGAATAAGCTGAATGTACATATATAGATACAAACATGGGTCAGAACTAGCCTAAGTTACTTATATTACGACTACACCTTATCCTATGTGGAGATAGGATACAACTTCCACGAAGACGAGTATCCTAAGTCCACAAATTTCGGTTTTGTAAGCCTAAATAAAAAAACCTTAAAAGAGCAAAACACATGCAAGTATACTCATATTATGAACACATTTTCATTCAAGACTTGCAAGAAGTTTAAGACAAAATCAGAAAAAATTATCTCCTGTAAAATTAGCATTTTGTGACTTGAGCTAGTTCTGCATTCAATGAGCGTATGTTTCGAGACGCTTTAGTGAGACGGTCAAGGTCTTTATTCATCAGATAAACAGCGATCTTCCTCGTACTCGTTTCAGGACGTTTTTCGACTTCGTGCAGCACCGCTTCCTCAATTTCAGGTCTATACACTTAGAGGTCTACCTTCAGAGGTTCCTTTTCGGTCAGAACCAGTTTCAACAAGACGACGATGAATATTAGAAAAGGTTCGACTATCTGGCAAAGCACGATCGGGATATCTCTGGTGATAAATCCGTCTGGTTTGTTCACCATTACCGTCGGCAAGGCCATATACGTAGTGCATTTCCGCAATTTCTGCATTTGAATAATTTACCATTATTAACAAGGTTGTAAAAACTAAATAATGAAAAAGATGTCACAGCGAACAGATTTGAATAACAGGGACTTATCAGATGTCAAAAGCCAGTGACATATTCCATAGCAACTAGATATTTATTGCTAAAATGCATTCTTCAATTATTACATTAATTTTCTCGGACAATAGAACGGTTTTTAATATTTTTACTAAAAAATGGCGCATCGAAGAAAAACAGTTCAGGAGAGATAATTTGTTTTAAATTGAAGGGGGACTTCAAAAATAATTTTTATTTGGCAAAAAACGATTGGCGTACCATTTTTTTCTTAAAAAATATCGACGTCAATGCTTGTACGCACGCCACTGTTAAAGCTGAAAATTATTTTTGCATTGAAAAATATGCAACTTTATCAACTTTCACATCGTAGTAAGTATCAATGAAATATCTGAAGCGGTTCTGAAAATATTAATTAATTTCCATTTTTTTCCTAAAACTTCAACACCCCGAGTTTTTGTAAGGAAACATCTTTGGACCATAGTTTATAAAGCAAACTAACATTGATTTTTCATTTAGATTGACACCCTTAAATACTCGGGTATCATTAAGAAACAGCCTGTATAATTTTTACCTTGTTTGTTTTCAATATACAGTGTGAGTCTTCATAAAGTACACATAGCAAAATCAAGGAAACTACACCTTATTTTAACTTTAACCCTATTTAAATAAATCGTTACAACTTTTAAACTGAATGTCCTATCATATTGGAATAAATTTTGTAGTGATTGCAAATAATAGGCCGTACCAGTAAAGTGAAAATTTCCACGAAATTAAATGCTATAAATTTAAAATAAAGAGGAATATGCAGAAACTCACTATTTTTTCAATGATTTTTAAAACAATTGCTAAATTTCAATAAAAATTGTCCTATTTACCCTACCTTTTTTAAATGTTAAGTTATTCTACATGTTAATAGCTTACTAATGGTGAAAAATTGCAAGTTTATTACTTAGATACAAGTTTTTAAATCAGCGTTTCAAAAAGCAGTGAACTCAGTTCAACGCCAGAGTAGGAATAAAACAACAGTATTAACCTACATGAATCATTCATTATCTTTAACAGATAAAATCAAATAGACTTGTCTATAGGATAATCATTTTGGCTTAATGCATCAAATGTTCAAAATGGCCACCCCGTTGCTGCAAACACATTGTAGCGCGAAGTAAAATTTAATGAGTTGCCCTACGAATCATCTCGGGATCATTTTTGATTTCGTTTGCAACACGCAAAACTCTTTCTTCAAGTTCCGCTTCGCTGTTTATGGAACTGCTGTAGACCCTTTGTTTCACTGTCCCCCATAAAAAATAGTCGAGAGGTGTGAGATCTGGGGAACGCGCCGGCCACCCAACAGGTCCTTGTCGACCGATCCGGCGGCCTGGATAATTTTCATTAAGAAAAGACCTGACAATCAGCGAGTAATGGGCAGGACATCCATCCATTTGAAGCATCATTCTTCGACGGGTTTGCAGCGGCACTTCTTCCAACAGCAAGGGCAGTTCAGTCCGCAAAAGCTCCAGAAATCTCTCTCGGTTTAATGTCCTCGGGAGTATTATTGGACCGATCAAAAAGTTGTCAATCAGTGCGGCCCACACATTTACAGAAAATTTCACTTGAAATGTTGGAGCCCTTTTCAGCCTAGGGTTTTCATCTTTTGGGCATCACTTATGTAAATTACGACAGTTCACGATGCCGTCTCTCGTGAATTGAGATTCATCTGTCCACAGAATTGTTTTCGGGAATTCAGGATTGTCTCTTTTTTTTTATTAAAATCGATGTAGACATAACGCACCTTGGACGCCAATCCACAGCTTCATGCAAGTGCTGCACCCTTTGATAATGGTATGGATGCAACCCTGCTTTCCTTAAGATGCGCCAAACCGATTTCTGGGATACGCCCTGACGTAACGCCAAACGTCTCGTACTAGTAGTCGGGTCAGCAAACAAATCATCCCAAATGGCTTCTTCGATAGCAACATGAATAATAACACCTCGTTCGCGGCGATCTCGAGGCAAACCAAGTCTAGTATTAGCCAGTCTTCTATGTACTTCTTGGAAGTTACGGGCTAATGGAACAGGGCGTCGATTTGGAAATGCAGCTAGATAAGCTGTGCAAGCAGCTCTAGCGCTGCCTCGGTACATTCCATAATAATAATGGATATCGGCAATGTGTGCCGGAGGGAAATCACTTATACGTGGCATCGCGACCAAAAAGCGAAAGCGTGATATGTAGCAAACGAAACTGATAAAGTTGGCAGGGGAAACACAAATAGCTGCCTAACTGCCCAACATTTAATTGTTTTTCAACTGGGCCCGCCTCCCCACACGTACTTCAGCCCGCGCGACTCTACATTGAATCACCAAAAAAAGGTATCTACATGATAAACAACTCATAGAAACTATTATATTTGAGTAATAAACATGCAATTTTTACTTTTATAAAGCTGATAACATGTAGAATAACTTACAAATAAAAAAAGGTAGGGTACAAGGGACGATATTTATAGAAAATTTGAAATTATTGTAAAAATGGTAAAAAAAAACAGATTTTCATCAAAATTTTCTTTATTCTAAATGGATGTCATTACTTTTCCTGGAATTCTTCACTTTTCAGGCACGTCCTTTTACCAGCAATCACTAGAAAATGTATTCCAATATGATAGGACATTTAGTTTAAAAGTTGTAACGAGTTATTTCAATATGGTTAGAAGCTGCTA